TATTTCTGATATTGGAGTGCCAATTATTTTTTTTAAACAGCAACCGATAATACAATAAAGATGTAAACATTTTATTGTTCTTCAATGTGTAGAAAAAAGTAAAATAACAAAAATCCCGAACTCTAAGGAAAATTCAAAACGGAAAGTCCTTTATCAAATGGCTTCACCAAAATTTCAAACACATCAAACGAATGGAAAACAACTGTCATATTCCTGACATGGTACAGGAATTTCCTTATATAGAAAATGGTGGATGAAAACTGGTTTTATAGCTAGCTAAACCTCTCACTTGTATGACAGTCGCATAAAATTCCATTATATTGACAACAATGTGTGAACAAAACAAACAGACATAATAGGTAAAATGTCAAAAATAGGGATACATCAGTCAACATTATGTTATAATTTTAATCACTATAAAAACAAACAAATATGTCAACAAAGAAAAACACAATGGCATATAGTCAAAGCACATAATCAACAATGAAAGACAAGAATACAAAAATTGACCATAGCACAATAACACAATGACGGGATGTATAAGTACCGAGTCACGCCAAAGGGATATTACCAAAAATAGACAAAACCGTAAAGGTACTAATTTACAAAGACACATACAAGAACACTCTTACACGTAATTAAGATAATAAACAACGTCAGTACCTAGAATCTATACTTCAAGACCATCATGTATTATTTGTGAACTTGACACGGAATATTTATCAACAAGGTCTTGGTATCTTCCGATGAACGTTTTTAGAAAAAGGACGAGACGTTCTTTGACATAACCCTGGTTCATCATCTTTCTGCTCATACCCTGGTGACGTTTTATAAAGTCTGAGTAGCAGCTGCAAGCTCTTGAATACCGAATGAGTTTTAACTGTATATCCCTGATGCAGGTGAAGTTGGTATATTGCTACTAAGGATGGGGAAATTGATAATTTCAAAATTAAAATCGTCTCGTTTGTCATAGATTCTGGAACTGAGAAAGAACTGCATATCTAGAAAATTAAATGTCCGAGTACGCGGGGCCGTTCGGGGTTTTCAAATTTGTTAAAAAATCAACTACACTTCGTATCCCGAAAATTTAACCACCTATGTGAAAATGTTTAAGCTTCGAAACGAGCCAACAAACATATTCCAGTTTCCGTTATGGATAGAGATATGAAAGAGACTGCTATTATTTACCTACCTGAACTGAATTGCGCACATTGACCCAATTTATTTGTTATTATATTTATAATATTTCCTTGTTGCAGAAGCATGTGAATTTATGTCAGAACAATTTTTAAGTAATTTGTTAGATTGATGTGAAATTCTCGATTTCTTTTTAAAATTCTTACATGCAGTTTCTGGCTGCTAAATCTCTGTGAACAAATTTTATGCTGCCAAGATATTCCATACCCCTAGCAATATCTAGTCCAAATCTCACCAGGTCTTTGACAGTTGGCTTCTGTAGGGAATATAATTAGAATTAAAAAAAAATTGTCAAATAATCAAAAAAACAAACTAGAGAAAACTGTATTTGAATAAAACTTATAACTGTATAAAACGAAAATATATATCAGTCATTTTTTCCATACTAAATGTTTATGCAATATGAGTTTTTTTTTATATTGTGAAATTCTCATGCTGAAAAATTTACACAGAAGAAAATATCTCTTCAAAAGCGGGAAAAGTAGAGAGTGTGCTTTACCAACATAATCATTATCTTTGTTTTTTATAAACATGTAGTTGCTCGACAGATTGATTTCTTAAAATCATTTGAATTTGAATGTATTTGTAAATTGAAGGAGAGGCGAAAGATACCAAAAGGACATTCAAACTCATAAGTCGAAAATAAATTGAAAATGCAATGACAAAAAAAAAGAAAAAGACCAAAAGACAAACAATGGTACACAAAAGACAACATAGAAAACTAAAGACTGAGCAAAACGAACCCCACCAAAATGGGGGTGATCTCATGTGCTACGAAAGGGTAAGCAGATCCTGCTCCACATGTGGCACCCGTCGTGTTGCTCATGTAAGTACAAACCCGGTGACACGTATAACTCCGTAAGTTGCATTCGAGGAAAAGAGGACAGGATTGTGGTTACGACTATTGGAACATATCCGTCGTCATCTGTGAAACATATTCCATAACGGTTAACCAGATGGTGATGGCATCCGTAAATTTTTCGAACTGATAATTTCAACTTCAACACTTGGAACTCCTGGTTTAATAGCTTCCTTGTGAGCAAACACATGAATGACACTTTTTAATTTTAATACAAGAAGTTAAAAAATATATATATTTGCATTTTTCTAGCTCTCACATGACAATTTGTAAACATTAGATATGATTTGGTTGTTCATCAGCTTATATTATGTGAAAGGCGGCACCATTTGCTATAAGCAAGTTGCCTTCTTTGCGCTTTCTTTCGGAGTAGATGCCAGTTATCTTTCTATAGTCTATTTTGTTATTTACTCTGGGCTTGGTATCTATACTACCGTTATTTTAGGGTTAAATGCTTTCTTCGATCTTTGCAAGTAAGCTTTTGTTGTTCAATATTTAATGTAAATTTGTATCAATTCACTATTGACTGTTTTCACGGTGTCAGAGAATAGATACTAGTATGTTGTCGTCAGTCTAATTTAACTGATGTATCATATTCCATTTTATGATATTTTGGTTGTTGATGCACACATAGCAGAAGACGTTTACCCTGTTGACGCACCTGTTCTCTCTACTTTTGGAGTTTATGCGTCAGTTATTGTTTGTTTACTTAATTAGTCTCTTTTTAATCGATTTATCAGATTTGAACATTGGTAAATTTCTGTCGCCTTAATTTATTTATTTATCAAGCAAAAAAAGTGACTGAATTCTCAACAAAAATATTGTGACTCGTCATCTGTCCAAAGTCACGAACCTTGCGAGAAGTTGTCGAATTCATAGAATTGTGATCAGTTAAAGAAAGGTTTCCAAAAAACTATCTTTACATATGATGTTTTCATCATTGTAATGAATGGTATTTTGTTGCTTGCAAAAATCCTTTAATGCATTTTTATAACAAGAGCAAGTTTACAGTGTAAAGAGTCAGTTCTGCAAGGTACGTCGATCGGGATGAATGGCAGGTCATTTTTATATTTCCTCTAATAAATGACGGTATGTTTGGAAGTAAATCATTTACCTTGTAAAGGGTCATCTTCAACACATCAAAGTTGTTGAGAGGGTTCTCAAACGAGAAGAAAGCATAGCACATACCCTTCAATGTCACCATGTCGACATGGCATGACTGCGTATTTATAAATTCAGAACATCAAAACGAAAACATTCTGGCATTTTGACTTATTTGAACAGTTTGACATAGTTCTTCAAAATAGGTCATGAATCTATACAATGAATTTGGATGTACAAAGCATAATGCATTTAAAAAAAATCCTGTGATTCCTAGAGCCTTTAACGATCATTAGTGTCTACATACAACAAAAAAAGAATGAAAAAGTATATATTATAACTTACATTGTCATCGCTACGAATATAAGACAGTAGATCCCCATTTGTAACGAATGGAATAATAACCAACGGGAATTCGCCAGGAGCGACAGAAATGCCAATCAGTGACAACACATTGGGATGATCGAAATCTTTCATGATCATAGCTTCATCAAGGATTGCATTTATGTCTTGTACTTCTGTTTCTACAATTTATTATCAAATCAATAGCGTAAAATCGAAATTAAAATACGATATTAATGTGTATGTGCAAACATGTTTAGTTTTAGGTCGTACAAAGCATGCCCAAGTCTTGCCCAAGCTTCAAAAATAAAGACAGTAAGGGTAAATAGCTAGATTGACTTGTGACTAATAGTCATACTCTTGCTTAGAATGTGGGTCATTTTTGTTGTTTAAGCTATATCCATGTTAGGTATTTGACCACCTTTTGTAAAAGGGAGTTAGTACCCTAGCAGATGAGGTCTATTTAATTTTCCTGATAGTTTATACCAAATTCATATTTGCAAAGTTCATTAGTGACAGAGGACAGAAAATAATGTATACTAGTACTACCTTATACATGCAATATATACCACGTACAACGAATAAAAATGAATCCACAGTACTACCTTATACATGCAATATATACCACGTACAAATGAAAAATTTCATCAAACAATTTTAAAATTTACAACATATTATAGCATGTATTTTTTCTTGCTACAGTGAAGCAAAGGCTATACTTTAAATACTTATGACCTTTATATGTACATGTGAGAGTTGTAACCTTAGTGTTTTATATATAGTTGTATGATTTTTTTTTATTTATACTATGTGTAAATATACATGTTATCCTCCTTCTTGCATCATAAGCGGGAAAATAAATTGATATGCTATAGTACTGAAAAAAGTTTGTGACATTATCCATCCGATATCTCCAATGTACCGATATCAAACGTCATTTAATTAATGAATCAATAAATAATTAGCATTCCTAACTCAATCTTTTTTTTTATGTTTAGTATTTGTTGGATGTTAAACAGTAAATAACTTCTATTGTAAGTGAAACCCTATAAATCCAATAAAATACATTGAAACTAGGAAAATTTGAATACGCAGTGCTTGAACTTATTTTATTGTGTTAGGTTTTGGTGTAATAATTTATTGTTTTTGTATTTTTGTAATCATTATATTTGAGTAATCTAAATTTGGTTATCTAAATTCTGTTGACCTAGTAAATTACATATGGGTGATGACGAATCTGTTTTTTTTTTCTATTTCATTACGTTACCTAATAAAATTGAGAATGTAAACGGGGAATGTGTCAAATAGACAACAATCCGACCAAAGACCAAAACATGTTTTCTTTTGAAGTTTCATTGATTCTAAGAAGTATATACCGCTTACCTTCTTACAAATGAACAAAACAGTATGTTAAATTATTTTTACACATCCATCAATTAAACAAGACATACACAAATGACGGTGTATCTTATAGCTTTTTCCTTATACATTTGTCACTTACTAAGAACAGTTTTGACGGCAACAAGTCGTTCCTCTTTTTCTTCCATTGACAACAGATAACCCTTGTATACACATCCAAAATTTCCTGTTAAAAAATGTCCCTTTTTTATTACTTATAAAATAGAAACTAATACAAAATGTTTTAATCCTAACCAACTGTATTTATAAAATGGGAAAGCAGTATAAGTACAACTGTTACTCCTGATACCATAAGTCAAGACCATTGACATTTCCTTGTATCGGAGCTTCAAATCGGAATAGGAGCTTCAACAGCGTCAACATCTCTTGCTAGCTATATATAGCAATGCATGACCGTTTATGCGATAGATTTAAAAGATAAAACGGAACACGGTTAAACCATTTATAACCAGGAATGTACCGGAGTGATCAAAAGGAATCAATAACGTTAACAGAAAACACAAGTTTGAATTATTATAGACAGTGTATCAATGCAACCGTTCGACCATATATTTTCTGAAGCAACGACTTCAGTCATTTTTCGTCATTACCTTATTTGGGTCTGTTTCTAATTAAAATTATACGTTGAGTTTGTGAATATTTTTACGCTAAGCAATATCGTATAAACTGATATGTGTAAGATATATAGGCTGTGCAGAAGTAAGGTGTCTTTTCACATAATAGGCATTCGACAAAAACACTGCGTTAGTCATAGATCGTAATGTTTGGTCTACCATCGACAAGATCTACATACAAAACAAGCTTAATAACATATCTATGTTCACTAGGACATTATGGGATGCAAGTATTTACTTAATAAAAGAATATTCAGTGTTAAGACGTCATTAATGTATATGAGAGTGAATTCAGGAGATTAAGATCTATATTTGTTTTAGAGTAAGGTTTTGTATAGACAGAATACATTATTACAGGATCAAAATTTTCAAAGAACATTACATGCTAACCATGGCCAATATCTTCCCCAAGTCTAACCAAATCGCGTTCAATAAAGATATTTTGCTGCCTCAGCATGTTAGCAGTTCCAATAGCGTCAAATCCTGGTTTAGAAATACATGAAGCCCCTTCAACAACCAGCTCTGTATCGCTCTGTCTATTCTGTTTGACATGCATAGGCGTTCCTTGCTCAGCAGATGAAGTACCTTAGACATAAATTATAACATCAGACTGAATTGAAAAAGCAATAATGTGTGTATGACAAGAACACGGTTGCATATCATAAAGCAGATTCTGATAGAATTAATAAATATTTGCATATGTCAACTACTATAACTTTCTAAGGATTTTCTACCCAAGAAATAGATAACTTTAGCTGTATTTGACAAAACCTTTAGATATTTTGGTCCCTCAGTGCTCTTCAACTTTGTACTTTATTTGACATTTTCAACGTTTTTTATTCGAGCGTCACTGACGAGTCTTTTGTAGACGAAACGCGCGTCTGTTTTACCACATTTTTATCCTGGTATCTATGATGAGGTTTTTTTTCATTATCTTTTCAAGTGGCTTGAATTCTATTTCATTACTATGTCTTACTTAGGCAAGAACTTACGTTATGGAACTATTTTTACAAATACAAATATAAAATCTGCAGGTACAGCGAAGACAACAGAAAAAAATTTGAATTTTAACATGAGGACGTCAGTACTAGTCTCTCTCTCCGACAAATAGTTGTACATACTAGTGTATAAAAATTTTAGAAAAAAATAAGCGTTAAATGTCACAAAGAATGTTTGATATAAAAAGAAGATGTGGTATGATTGCCAATGAGACAACTCTCCACAATAGACCAAATGACACAGAAGTTTCGCTCTTGTTGGTAAATTCAGAAAATTTAACTTGCATCTACTATTGGGATTGATGAAAAGTTGACAAAAAGGTTGTCATATCTCGATAAATGTTGTCATATCATGATAAATGTTCTATACAAATTTTATTTAAGTTGGACTCGGATAAACTATAAAAGAACATAACAGAAAAGTTTGAACTTTATGATAAACAAAAAATGGCGGAAAACATATTACAGTCTTCAGTCTTCATGTGTCATATCAATACTGGGGTAATGACAGCCCCAAGGTTCATGGTGTATCCACTTAGTAATATAATTGTTATCGATTACAAAAGACTTGCGATATGGTAAAACTAATGTGTTGTATGTATTTAATGAGTGGTAACTAGTAGGTTTTGAATAATAACAGATTTTATATCATGTGAATACTTAATTACCTGTATCATATGGCGGATCCATGAGACCTCTTGTTTCTGCGTTGTTGAGATAAACGACAGAAAACTCTTCTGTTGCCTTCTTTCGAAACACTCCTAAGTGTTTCTTGTGCATGACAAAAATTAGACATGAAATCAGAACAACAAAAGTGCCCAAACATATCGCAACAAGTTGGACATGTAATTGGTTCCGATGAACGTCTACATGGGAAAACTTCATGTATCCTAAATTTGTGTTCCAGTTATGACCTACAGATACCTGTAAAACAAATAAACGTTTAATTGAAAAATTATCGATAATGAAGCAAGGTTTATAAGTAAAGATGTTGCTGATATCAAACTCTTATCAACCCCACTGCTTCTATGTGAATTCAACAAGAAGAAAAAGAAAACGTGTTCATAGTAAAATATATTGCAATGTAAAAATATTTATTTTTTTTCAGATATGGGGGCGAGGAACCTTTTAAACGATTACTGAAGGATAATGAATAACTTATTAATTTACATATCTTTGACCATTAACATTTCATAGAATAACAAAGAATATGGGGTATACATTCATGACACAAAATCAGTATATGCACAGCAAAACACACAAAAAGCAAAGGAAAAGCAAAGGAAAAGCGCTTATATTGCTGTTCTTCATACTAGTCACATTGAGGCCTTCAACACGGAGAAAAATTGTAATTTCACTGCAAGTTTAAGACGGCCTTTAACACCGGTTTGAGCGGAATTTTTTGCAAAATAATTCAGGCAGACTTTGTAAGATGTAACACCACCAAATCGGCACCGGTCAAAAAGAACATACTGGAGAGTAGTACATATTCAAAACAAAATAGTTCCTATGCATAGGTGTAAATATTAAACTATGTAGAACATATTTAAGTAACTTTTCATATGAAAGGTGAAGGACTCGTGAACCTTGTAGAACACCTTTTGGCTGATAATATTAAGTAATAAAAAAATGTATTAATAAATACAAAAAAAAGGTATATGTTGACTGTTTCTCATATATTAAGTACCTGATTTGGTATATCCAAAGTTCCGATAACCAGTCCGGTTTGATGTGTAAATAACGGTATATAGATCGCGCCCCCATAAATGCTTGATATTGAAAAATTATACTATATGTTAGAAAAATCTTCTAAATCCCCAAAAAACGTTTCCGGTGCACCTGAGATCACCCCCAGTATTAGTGGGGTAGTTTTCTATGTTGTGTTTGGTATATATGCTTGCATACCACATCTTCTTTTGTCTATTGTCTTTTGGTCTATCCTGTACCCCGCGCGACGCGTTGAGGGGGACATAGAAATATCGGGCGTCCGTCCGTATGTCTGTCTTTCAGTCCATCCGTCTGTCCGTCTGTCTATTGATCCGTCCATCCGTCTGTCCGTCCGTCCGTTCGTCCATGCGTCCGTCCGGTTTTGTTAGCGCACTCACATGTACAATTCTTGCCAGATTTTTATAAAACTTATATCATAGATTTATATCAGCAATGTCTCGGACGAGTTCGAAAATCGGTGCCGATCAACTATTTTTAAAAACAGTTATGCACCTTGGAAACATTTTGATTATATTGAAAATTGCATTGTTAGCGCTCTCTTGTGTACAATTTTTGCCACACTTTTATGAAACTTACATTGTACGTTTGTATAAGCAATGTCTCAGACGAGTTCGAAAATCAGTGCCGATCAATCATTTTTGAAAGAGTAATGGCTCTTAGAAATTTTAATTATATGGAAAATTGCATTGTTCGCTCTCATGTGTACAATATTTGCCAGATTTTTATAAAACTTATATAATAGGTATATACCAGCAGTGTCTCTGACAAGTTCTAAAGTCAGTGCCGATCAATTATTTTTAAAATAGTTATGCCCCTTAGAAATATAAATTATATGGAAATTTGCATTGTAAGCGCTCTCACATGTACAATATTTGCCAGATTGTTTTTATCAAATTCTTATAAAAAAAAATTTCGAACAAATGTTTTAAAAATGAGTTATGGCCCTTGGAAATATGCAACACATTGGAAATTGCTCTCAAGTCTTCAACTCTCTAAGATAATTTTAAAAAGTTTTAAAGAACAAAAAAATATATTGCTTTAGTTATTGCCCTTGGACAAACAAAATACTTGCAACGCGGGGGACATTGGAACTCTGTTCTTTTGTTTCTTTTTTTTTTTTTTTTATCTTTCGCCTCTCTTTCATTGTTTGTACAAATAGTGTTGCGGTCAATCTACAGTATACGTCTGTACGATGCTGTAGTAATCTGAATTGGTTTTTTGTTTTAATCATTGGTTCAGCATGAATATGACCTTTGTTTTTTTTTTCTTTTGAATTGTTTTACATGTTGTGATAATGGAACTTTGAATAGCTCATATTATAAATAAAGTTTATCATGTTTAATCTATGAAAATAGCTATGTCAAATGTCAATACCATATTATCCCCAAAATAAAATAAGTTTTAAGTATTGATGAAAATATTGGTGTATTCACTGAGGAAGAAATTATCAAAACATTTCGATCTTAGCATTTCCTTTACAGAACAGTTAATTTCAATGCAATTAGAAAAATCATTAAGTCATATTGCACGTTTCTGTATATTGCACAAAAATGTCCGAACTGCGACTGGAATTTAACGAAAATCATAGAAATTACATAACATTATTGTTCAAACTCTGATGGAAAACACGTTCCTATAAAAAAAATCTATAAACGTTAATTTTTGGTTGAAGCTGTTACAATAACATGTAGTTTCTTTGAAACTTATAGACTTGTCTTTTTTACTGATAAGACTTATATTGTACCTTACCAATGCAAGATATCAGACACAAACTTTTATAAAGTGATTTTCTACCGCAAAATCATAAACCTTATTTTGAGGACATGTTATTATGTAATTCACACTCAAAATTCTGGTAATCATGTTTGATAAAATATTTACCTCAACAAGAAGAGGGACATCTTTGATGTGAACTGTGCTGGAAAGGTTACATATAAGAAACGTTTCATGGAGATCAACCACAGGACAATGTGATCCATTTATTATAATCATATAATCTTCTTTTCTAGCTGCATAATTCAGATAACGCCCCTGAAAAAAATGTTCACTATATATCTGACCAACATTAAGCGCCTCATAGCCTGATTATGTATCAACGTAATGTGCTATGTGTTTTCATAACTTCTAACCAAATTTTATAAAATGATAATAATATGCATTTTTATCATTTTCAAAAAAAGAAAGCAATACATCCTCTTTGGACCTGTAATATTGATAATTTAGCAAGTAATAAATACATATTATTATACTTTACTATAGTAACCACTAATAAAATAACCATCACAAATAACCCCTCTTTCCTGCGGGTAACTGCGCGTACGCAGAATAATTGTTAGAGAATAATTACGCTAGTCGAAAAACTAACCCCATATTTCCCGCGGGCAACTGCGCGTAGGAAAAATAACTGTGTGGGAATGAGCGCGTAGACAAAATAACTCCTTTGGCGGCAATTTGCACGACGTCTTTCAAATAACAACTTCAAGTTCTGTACAGTATAATAATACAGTTATGCCTTCATAAAAGTTAATATCCAAAGTTATTAAATCTCTAATAAAAATTATTTTCCCTCGATCCTACGGATCTCGAGGAAAATAACCCTTTTCTTGATTTAATAATTTTTGATATTAACTTTTAATGAAGGCCATAATTGTATAGTGTTAATAAGTATTCCTCTGTAATGTCTGCAACCAAGATAACTTTCGTTCAACTTGTCGACATTTTTGGATAGTCAGCTAACTCTTACGAAAGAACAAGCGAATAAAAAAAAAATTCTTAGATATTGACCACATAAACATTTTAATACTTTTTAACAACGTCTTGAAAGAACCATGGGGTGATTCTGCTGATTTTAATTTTGTTTAGCAATACCTAATGTGAGAATTTCCTGCAATCTGAACAAATATAAAACCTGAAACAATAACAGCACACAATCTCGGTGTTCTTCAAACTGAATAAAGAAAGTTAGGAATATTAACGTAAAAACTATTATTTTTCTTTGCAAAATGAAATCAGCAGAAAGATCTGCGTGTTATGGGAAAGGGAACAAAAATTGTACAAAACATTAGTTTCTATATAGTTGTTGTTTCTTGCCTATATACCACATACATAAAAATATGATCTTATCGGTGAAATATTGGTTATAACTTTTCAAAATACTGGTTCACTCCCTGTATATTGATGTCGCACAGCAATTTGTGTCGTATGCAAATTATTCTAATCTGCAGATATAATAGATTTCGTTTGATTTTGTGTTAAAATTGATAGTCAGAACTGTACAAATATGGCAGAGTTTTTATTATTTTGTTTTTCTAAACCTCTAGAATCTTATTTAAAAATTCCAGACAGATATAATAGAACACCAGACGCGCGTTTCATCTACATAAGCTTTGCTTGAATCATGATTTGTTCAAAGGGCAAATCAATAACGAAACTAAAGAAAAAATAAAGCTAAAAGCCCCACATTAATTGTGTCACAACTGGCTAAGGTAATGTTTGCATTTAAAAAAATCCTTAAGACTTTGAGCTGACATTGACATTTGATTAACAGTTTATTTGAATAAAATGATCGTGTTATTGATATTTCTTGTCAAAACAAAAGTTTTGACTTCTGTGGTGGAATAACCTCATGATCAAAACGTCCACCAGTTGTGGTATTTACCAAGTGCTTGTAAAAGGTCATCAAAGATAACAGGCTTACAATTTGGTACATGTTAAAAGTACTAGGATTATGATTCAGAACGCATATGCGAGTTTCATCTAATTTAGTATTAGCAGTAACACTCGAATCAAACAATTTGAAAGCCGAATTTTTAGAATATTTAAAGCGTATTAAAAACAATAAGTTCCAAAAAGTTATGCTTAATATGGTTAAAGCTGTGTACGCCTGGAAGAATAAGGTTAACACTAGGTTTTAAACTGAGTTGTGTATTTCGTGAAAAGCTAATTTACAGAAAATGCTTGTATGAATAATATCTTATGTCAGCATGACGTTTGGACTATTGGGAAACGTTATATCAAATATTAATAATTTTCATGGATTTTGATATGGTTGTGTTGTAAATTTGAAAGCGGAGAATTTATGATACTTTCGTTTTTTTGACAAATATCATGAATATCTTGATATTTCACGTTCGCTATACCATCATGAACATAGATCTGATTCTTTGTCTGGGTTTGGATTTACTGTTGTTTCTGTTTGATTTCATCAGCTCTTTAAAGTTTGTATAATGTTACAGAAATATGTTGACCTCCAGCTTCACTGAAGAAACACAATTTGCCAAGTGCGCATCTGTGCAGTGAAATTAATGTCATTAATGTTACTGTCTATATATGGTTATTCTTATTTAAGCATTGGTAAGCGATTTTTGTCAGATGTTTTTTCTTTCCTATATAATGCAAATAACACTTTTTAAATTTTATGAGTCCGAAGCGCTTTTCCGTATGTACTTCCAAAGAAGCGCTTAAAACCAAAACTTTGAACACCGTGGATATATACGATCCGACACACGTGAAATGCTGTATGATCAAAAGGGACCTAAAATAAATAGCCAATTCATTTAATGGCAACGTTGCCTGAGATAGTTGGACCCATAGTTTTTAAACGAGAGGCGCACACCTAGGTCTGTGTGAATCTTCAACAATGGACACTCTCTAACATTGAAGACTAGAATAAAATTATGACTAAAATCTCTTTTTTGTTTATCTTATACTGCTGTTCATTTGTTTTGTTCACAGTTTTTCTCTATCTTTTATAGTTTTTTGCCAAAAAAACACAAAAACAAGCTCGTCATTTCTGGCCATTACTGGACAACTGATAATTTCATTTTTTGTTGACCTACTTTCAGATCTTGAGCTGACTATCAATTACGGCCATGCTTAATCATTTGTAGATCTTGTCTTCCTCATATTTTTTTTGTTTTGCTATTCAAATTTTAATCTATCTATTATAGTTTCAAGGTAATAGGCCAAAATGCAAAAAACGTACTATTTCGGCAATGTTGGTTTATTTGTAGATCTTTTTGCCTTCAAACTTTCAATTATTATTTTTAAGATAAAAGTTAAAATTGAAACAAAATTGGAAGAATCCGTCATTTAACAAGGGCAACAACTCCTAAAAGAATTCATGTAAATGAATAGTAGGCAGATTTCAACATTTTAAACATTTCTGTCCGTAAAATATTTTCTCAATCTATACTGGTTTTCAAGATAATAGATATAAATGTTTTCTACCCTGTTCTATTTTTAGCCATGTCGACAATGTTGGTTGATAGGCGGCATCATCGGACATATGTTTTTAACTAAATATCTCAGTGATGTTTATGACCGAATTTCGTTTCAATTGGCCAAGTAGTTTCAGAGGAGAAGATTTTTGTAAAAGTTAATAGACGCCGACGACAGACGACGAACGCCAAGCGATGAGCTTTGGGCCAGGTGAGCAAATAATTTTTGTCTAAATCAACGGAGTATTTACGGAAGATATGTAATAACTCATTCTATTAACGATACACTGACTAGTTAGCTTATGATAACCTCGGGGACTGATAGTCAAGCAACGATATCGATAATATTGTTATTTTCTTTTTTAATGTACTGTTTACAAAACTTTGAATCATTCGCAAAACTAAAACATTTCTACCCTGTTGATATATTTGACAATTTTTTTCGAATTTTTTGTTTTCGGTGTTATTTTAAACTGAACTTGATTTGTCCTTCTAACTGATTTGATTTTAGAGCCACCAATGAGTAGTTTTATAAAGACGGACGCGCGTCTGGCGTAATAAAAAGTAAAATCACAAAAATACTGAGCTCCGAGGAAAATTCAAAACGAAAAGTCCCTAATCAAATGGCAAAATCAAAAGCTCAAACACATCAAACGAATGGATAACAACTGTCATATTCCTGACTTGGTACAGGCATTTTCTTATGTAGAAAATGGTGGATTGAACCTTGTTTTATAGCTAGCTAAACCTCTCACTTGTATGACAGTCGCATCAAATTACTTATAAGCCAGGTATCTTTGATGAGTATTAATTTACCTTTAGTTCTAAAAGTTTGTCCTTCAAATCAATCTCTTTCAGTTTTGTATCTATATCTAGGTAGTCTAATTCTGGGTCAGGATAAATCATGAGTGTGGTTGAAGTTTCTGGATTGTTGTCTAATATTACAGCCATTCGCCCAACGATAACTTCTGCAGATTGGTTAAATTCGGGTGTCAAATTGGGAGTAGAACAAATCAACAGTGATCCAGAATATTTCATTTTACAAGACTGGAATATAAGAAAAATTTGTTGATTTTTCATCACAGTTTTTTTGAACGACACACCATTTACATTACAACACAACGGATCTGATTTGGAATAATAATCTTTAACCTGATTATTTCGTTCGAATAAAAACGATATCTTGTTTGATTTCCAATGATACAACTATCCACTAGAGATCAAAGGTCGAGGATGTTAACACGAAGGATTCACCGTAAAGTCCTCAACAATTAGCAAAATCCATATCGTAAAGTAAGTGTTAAAAAACATGGCATGACAAAATCAAAAGAAGAAAACCAACTGCATATATAAAAAACAACAAACAAAACACATGTATGGCATATACTAAACATCGCCAATCACCATATTACAAGCTCCGGACCAGGTATGTGACGGCGCTAAATATGTTTATAAACTATCTAAACCTGAAACAGTGGTGTCACAGTACAGCGCGACACAAGTACAAACTGTTAAAACCAGTGTGAAAAAACTTGACTCATTAGATCGGAAAGAAGCAAACAAAAATGATTTTCAAAAAGAAAAATACCACATGATTCCGATCTACGAGTATTGGCAGTCAAGATAGCTAGTTTTAAGCATTTTAGATGACAAATAAAGCACCTTTTCTAAGACTTAAATATCAACCAGTATATTTATGCATGATGAGTGATATTGTTTTGATTTTTTTTCAAAATAAATGTGTAATGCGACGAAGCCAAATATTCAAATATTTTAATAAAATATTAGGTTGATTACCTTTCAGAATAAGTTATTTCAAAGGATCAATTAGTTTACATGGATCGTATCGGGATTTCCGGGTCCCATATAAACAAAAAATCTGTTTCACCATCATCCATTTGATCACTAAATCAGCTACGGATGGGCGAGTGGTATAAATAGTTATCACTAGCTTTACAACTTTGAGGTTGTGAAAAAAAATTGAAAACAACACGTTTAATAATTTCATGCGTCCGAAGCGCTTTTCTGGATTTACCTTCATCAGGAACGCTCAATGCCAAACATTTGAAATCCGAGGGATGCATAAGTACCGAACTAGTTGAAGAGATATATGACAAAAATACCTAAAACAAATAGCCAAATTCATCTAAGGTCAACTTTGCCTGAGGGAGTTGAAACCTTAGTTTCTTTATAATTTCAAAATTTATAAACGGACAATTTTGGAAAAGTTTGTTATAAATCATGTCAGTACCGAAGTACTGACTACTGAGCTGATGATACCCTCGGGGACTGATAGTCCACCAGCAGAGGTATCGACCCAGTGATGTAAAAAAAATGAAACCTTCACAAGCCTGGTGCGTTCGATTCCGATCTTTATTGAACAGGAGAGACTGTTTTCCTCCTGAAAGTCTGGGTTCTCATTGGGTACTCCGGCTTCCTCCACTTATTAAAACTATCCGCAATGATAAGTCAAGTGTGTTGAAAGTGGGGTTAAACACCAACAATAAAACTATCATCAGCTACTAAAGAGGAAACAAATCTGATTTAAAAAATAATGTTTTTGCGAATTCATATTTTCAAACTGATCAGAATCCGAGTCAATTTCCCGAATTATTCTCATTATTCTGTAAATATTCAACAACGATAAATATCAAAATGTTGGATCAAAATATAGAGAACAAAGCTTATTTTTAAATGCAAAAAGTACATTTTCGTTACAAGATGTTGGAGTTACAAATGACAACTACTGTACAAATTATTCGATCTTTACAAATCTGTGAAACTAAAAGACCGCATTTCTTCCGGACCCTTTTCCTGCGATTGATTTATATCTTCGGCTTTCAAATTTTATCATATTGGCTACTCAAATTTATTTTTTCTTGCCAAAACATTTATAAAAATTAAAAAAATATTGAAATACTCCCAAAATTTATACACTATTCCAAACGAAACACATTTTCTGCAACCATTGAAGTTTGAGCGAATGTGAAAAAAAACTAAATACACAGCTTCCGGCAAAAGCTGCATTGTTGAATTAGCCGAGAATACGAATGTATTAGTGTTTTAACTTACCGAACCAAAGTGAGCATCACCAACACTTATCCTTATACCGTGGTTAGTTACTGAATCAAACCACTTTCCGTGAATTTCAATGTTTAAACCTCCACTGTAAAAAAATATTTTAAGAACGGTAACCATAGTAAGAAAAATGAAAACTATAGTTGAACAACTTTTTTTGCAATGGCACATTATCCTCACATGAAGTATATGCCCTTTTATATTGGATCTGTATTAAACCAACAATAAGGTATGGGATTTTTAGTACTTCAAAATTTACTAAGAATGTAAGTGCGATTTTCCATTGTTTATATCTTCAATTTTGATTATGCAATTTTGTCACTTGAATATTTCTGACACATGGTTATCACTACAAGGACCTCATAGACGTTATAGGAGTCGGTAAAAAGTTGATCTCGATAAAAGGGTTTCTATTGTATTTTCACCAAATGATAAATATCTATTGTTTGCGGTGGTCCGTGCAAAAGATTAGGATTGTATCGTTCAATCCTTTATCTATTTTCAAGTTTTTCGTAATAGCACTTTTTTTATTCAAGGTTCTCGTGATCACAGTAATCCTTTAGTTCCCTTGACATATTTTTTAACGTTAACTTTATTAAGGTAAACCTTATTATGGTACTATTTCGTGATGGTTGCTGAATAATCTCTGGGTTTGGCATGTAGCAAAATGTCTTGTTCTCCAAAAGCTGATATGCTGCTCCATCAATCGCTACTACAATATCTCCACTGTACCTACACTGTGACGGTTCAAGATTTCCTCCTTCATAAACTAATGGGCATGTTCCACAAGATTGTGTGAGGCACAAAATTTCTGTGTCATTTTTTCTAAAATATAGATTACATTAGATACATGTACTAGATGTTTCATCTTTTGATTGTCAGACACCACATACATATATGATATAAGCTGGTTCTCGACTCACTACTACACTCTGTTTCAGCGAAGCGTTAAATACAAGCGGATTCCAGTTTAACATACATACAGAGATGTCTTAATAAATCTCCGGATAACTCAAAACCATAGACGGCACGTGCTTTCCATGACAAAGTTATAACTTTTAATAAACGTATTTGAAACAATACACACCCATATGGTGGATTTTTATCGTTTTTTCCCGTTTTAGCATTATATTAAAACGTAATCATGAGATATAAATAATCTGTTTGTAAAGTAATAAGATTGTTAAATTTGTGACCGTGTTTGCAAAATATTATATGAGCCAAGGCGTTACCCTGATAGATATTTACCTACATTAACATCTTTGAATAAGATATCTAGCAGCAACATATTTTTTTTTTTTTTTTTTTTTTTGGCTCAATATTAGTGACAAGATCTCCAAACGATTTGTTTTGGAAGTTTTTACAGCCTAACATCAAAAGCAATAAGTTTGATTCGTTACAGAAAATATGTGAGACACAATTCAATAATATACATGCTGCCATCGACAAACTAATGTCCTATGAATATCTAAAAGGTGTTGAATGAAATAACACTTAATTTTTGTGTGTCCGATGCGCCTTTTCTGCATAAACCTTAAGCAGAAACGCTCAACCCTAAACATTTGAAAGCCAGGGATGTATAAATACGTAGAGTCGTTAGGTGCTATATAAACTGTAAGTAAAGAACAGCCAAGATTCAACAAAGGTCAACTTTGTCTGAGGGAGTTCATAGATACATAAAACAACCGTTGCAATGTTTCTGACTTTATTCATTCATTATAAAAAAAAGGCAATCATACTTACGTTTGTATATCACACATCATCTTACCAACCTTCACGGTAAGGTTAGATCCAATTTCAAACTTATCCCCCGTGATAGTTACCGTTGTATTGCCTGATATCGGTCCCTTTATTGGGAAGATATTCTTGACACTAGATTGCTGAAAATATTAACCAAATATTGTTAAGAGAATGAAAGTGAAAAATTTATTGCAGAAAATTGCAATCGAAGAATCGGATATGTAAATTAATTTTACCGATGACATGTGAAGATCAAGTTTTACTGTTGAATAACTACCTTGCGATTGGTTTTGAAAGTTTTTGAATTCTTATATTTCAAATGGCAAAAACCAAAAATCATATTAATTAAAACGCAGGTGCTATGGAAGGGTAAACAGATCCTGCTCCACAGGTGGCACCCGTCGAGTTGATCATTGAATTACAAACCCGGTGATAAGTCTAATTCGGTACGTCTTATTCTTATTCACATATTAGACTTATAAAGGACTATCGGATTCGGTAATACAATACGTGAAATATGTATCTTTGATATATCTACTCAAAAAAGACATGCAACTCAACCTCAGACTGAAAATAATGTAAAACAAAATCTCGATTTATCTTTCAAGTTTGTTTTCTCATTCTTGAATTATTTGTGTATTCAAAAGTACTACAGTAATATTGGTCAATTTCAGACAGCACATTGTCTAAGAAGTTAAAAATGCACACAACGCACCACATTTACGAAGTAGTGAATCTGATGGCATGCAAAAATTTGTAAAAAAAAAATTTGGAGGGACAATTTTTTTGTTACCCTCCAAAATTTATTATATTTTTTTAGTTTTCTTCTTTTTATTTAATTCGACATCCTTTATCGCAGGAATGCTGTTATTACAGATTTTCTACAAAGATATGAGCTCTCAAAGTGTGACCCCCATTAATCTCAATAAAAGTGTAGTAAAACTTTCTTTCAGTAGTATATATTATAATATTTCGTCAGTTTCATAGGTACTTGATCCTGAGCTTGAATCAGTCTCTCGAACATTGCAATATACTTAAAAGTATCTAAAGCCGTCTTCAATCATTTGATATCGTCAACTTTAACACAAAGGTTCAAGTCCTAGGGTTGTATATTGTTGTTGTTAATTATAGGACTTTAAATTTTAAAAAAGGACGTATCAATCATAAATCACGTCAGTACAGGAGTGCTGCCTATATATTGTGAAACGAAAAACCTGGAAAGACTATAAAAACTTGACCTCTTTCTTGATGATTAAAACAGCCACTTTTCATGAGCATGCACTTATATACTCTCACATACTGTATATTCAAATAATATGCCCCTTTGTTCCGATATCCCATTAATTCTATACGATTTGGAGGTCGCATTAGTCACTCTAACTTTTACAGCTGCAGAGACATGTAATCCTACTCTACTTGTCAAACACGTTATTCTGGAATTGAATAAAGTAAAAATATATGAATTACGAAAACAAATGTGCTTCGTGTCTTTCATATTTGTTTTTCGTTAATTGTTTTGTTATAAATTAAGCCGTTAGTTTTCTCAATGGAATTGCTTCATATTTTTCATGTCGGGCCCTTTTATAGCCGACTATATGGTATACTCTTCATTGATCATGATTATGATAGAAAAATCGGCCTTCAACAATGAGAAAAACATTTGGGTTTTTTCTCATTGTTGAAGGCTGATTTTTCTATCATAATCATGATCAATGAAGAGTATCTAAAAAATAAATTCATTGTTTTGCTATTCATTCTTGTATTCATAAAAAAAAAAAACGAAACTATTATTTTCTGTTGTAGAAATGTTCTTATTTCAGTCAATGAAAATAAATTAGTTCTAATGCAACTTGTTTGGAACGATAATTTTCATTGGACGTTGACAAATATTTAGATTCAACGTTCTACCAGTCGCAACTAAGGAAAATTTGAATTTTGAATTTCTCATTTTTGTCGATTTTTACACCATTTAGAAGCGTATGAAAAGTATAAATACGTCGATTATGCTTGACATCGGGAGTATACCTAGGACGTCATATTGTTTAAATGTGACGATGTAACAGTTTCGCAGACTTTTTTTTTATTTATAGGCTTTTCAAGCCAAAACATTTACTAAAATGGAATTCATTTTAATATATGACATTAGAATGAAGATAACTGTATTGTTTTGTAAGCTTGGCCTTCGTAAAACTTGATTATACTGTCGCTAATATCCGTTTACTAGCTCTGATCAATTTGCGACAGTAAAAGAGGGACGAAAGATACCAGAGGGACAGTCAAACTCATAGATCGAAAACAAACTGACAACGCCATGGCCAAAAATAAAAAGACAATCAGACAAATAATAGTACAGTTGACACAACATAGAAAACTAAAGACTAAGCAACACAAACCCCACCAAAAACTGGGGGTGATCTCAGGTGCTCCGGAAGGGTAAGCAGATCCTGCTCCACATGTGGCATCCGTCGTGTTGCTTATGTTTTTACAAATCCGGTAAATAGTCTAATTCGGTAGGTCACATTCGTGAAAAGGGAAGGGTATTGTAGTTACGACATAAGGAACATATCCGATATCATCTGTGAAACGGTTATTCCATAACGGTCAACCAACTCGTGATGACGTCCGTAAATAAATATACGTTTTACACAGGCTAATCTTAAATTACAATACAGCTATCTCCTAATTCCACCGAAACACATATATGTTTTTTTTTTTAAAACATTACTGTCTGTGGTGCTTGTTAACCACATATTTTTTCTGAATCTAGACCTTGGTGCATGGTGATAATGTTGTTAATCGGTATGACGTTTGCAATTATCTAATTCCTCAATAAATGTTTTTTTAAGCATTCGTAGAAAACAAAAACGAAAAAACACTAGAAAAGTGATCTAAGTGATCACAGATACCTCGCCGTTTTGTTAGTGATCCTAATCATTCTATTAAAATGGTAAGTAATTTCTTTTAAATTTCTCTATTTATTATGTAAAAATCCATGAACAAAATTCATTTTTTAAGCACCATTTCACCGGAATAGTAAAAATGAAAACGACGAAAATCACACGTTGCGGATCTTTACTGGTCCAAAACATCTTTTTAAAACATCAATTTATTTTTAAAAGCGTCTCTTTGTTTATCATCAGGAAACCAGCTAATTGTGAATTCTTCCGGCAGTAAAGTACATCAGCTCGGATCGGTAAAAATGAAAACGACAAAATTCGAACTTAATCTGTCTTTAGTGGTCGAAAACACTCTATTAAAATTCAATAAACAAAAAGTGGTTCTCTATTTTGCATTTGGATACCAAACCGTTTTAATTTTTTCCAACAATCGAGTACCATAACTCTGGAAAGATAAAAGTGAAAACGACTTAAATCGAATTCAACCGGTCTTATTTGTCCAAAACATTTAATTAGAATTTCAATTAATTTCAAAAATCGGTCCTCGATTACTTATCCGGAAACCAAAAGTGTGACCGTAAGACGGACAGACGGACATGAAATTTTCTATATATAACTCGAGCGAATAATGCAAATAGTGAAAACAAAATGCCAGTTATTTTAAAAGTTCTGTCCTTTACTTAGATTTAAACCTTTTGACATTGAATAATCGGTAAAAATAAGAAGAGGTGGTATGATTGCCAATGCGACAACTCTCCACCAGAGACCAATGTCATAGAAGTTAACAACCATAGCTCACCGACGGCCTTCAACAATGAGGAAAACCCATACCGCATAGAAAGCTATAAAAGACCCAGAAATGATAAATGTAAACAATTCAAAAGAGAAAACTAACGGGATTATTTATGTACAAAACTATCAACGAAAAAAATAGGATATACAGCAACAAACGACAAACACTTTAAGGCTTCTGACTTGGGACAGGCACTTACAGAATGTGGCGGTGTTAAACATATTTGAATATATTTTTGTACCTTGTATCATTAATTTTCTTGATCAAACACGGTTCATTTCCAATGGATACATTAGCAGTGTTTTCGTTCGAACCAAAGTTCTCTCCTCTAATAGTTACTTTTGTTGATCCTTCAAGTGGCCCGTTCGCTGGGCTTATCTGGGAAAAACAGAATGACCAGTGTTACAATAATAATTTTCAAGATCAGAGCGGTCCGATGTTTGAATACTTTTTATCAGTGGAACAATACGCATAACAACATTTCAAAAAAGAAAAGAAGAATAGAAAAACAAACATAAAACATGCTTAATTGCTGAATTGATACACCATATCCTTACATTTTCATTGTGTAACATTTGTGTGAATCAGTGCAAGAAGAGACTCAACATGATAGATTTAATCGTCAATTTTTCAATCTTGGTTTAAGAATGCTTTCATGAGTAATTAGCTGCAAATTAACGCAATATATCATTAAAAACAGCTCGTACCGACGCACGGTAGAAGCTTTAATATAACAGTTGTTATCCATACGTTTGATGTGTTTGAGCTTTTGATTTTGCCATTTACTTAGGGAGTTTCCGTTTAGAATTTTCCTCGGAGTTCGGTATTTTTGTAATTTTGATTTTAATTTTTTTATATGCTTAACATGATAATTGACAAAGTAATAGACCTACAGGAAGTTATCATAGTCTATTCTGATGTAATACTTTGGCTACTATCTTAACTGTCAATGTATTTACTACTTAATGATTATTGTATGTGTGCTGTGCTTACCGGATAGGAAGTAGTTAACAGTAACTAGAACACTGAGGTAATGAATATGAGGGATTATTACTTATTTATTTCATCACTTACACCGAGAACAAATGGGGGACACGATTGCGTGTGCCACATATTGTATTGACACCTGGTTCGTGTAGAGCAACGATTGAAACACCATCCGCATCCAAGTGGATCATTACTGGTTACACACTCTCCACACGTCTGATGTATTTCACATGACGTCATAGACAATTTTGTGATCTATAAGGAAAACAGACATGAAACGCAATAAAACGTAAATATAAATATGATCATCAACTCTTGAACTGAATTATGAACTCTTATACTTTTAATGTTTAAATTGATATACTGAACTCGGATGTGAATACATTGCATGTACTTCTAAAATGCCCAATAGCAAATATTGGTTTAATATCCCCTAAAATCCGCTAATAATACTATCGGTGCTTTTTTGTCTCGTTTGACTTCTTATTATATTTGTTTGTTTGTTCATAGATATCCACGTCCGCTTAACCTTTTAGCCTCGAAAAGAAACATATTTCGTGTTTCATGTTGTTGTTGTTGTTTTTTTTTTAATTGTGTTTGCTGACGAAATTAAACAAATCATATGAAAACACATGCAAAAAGATCAGATATTATATCCTTTTGGAGAATACAACATTTTTAAACCTTTCCAAATAGATATAAGAAGATGTGGTATGAGTGCCAATGAGACAACTCTCCATCCAAGTCACAATTTGTAAAAGTAAACCATTATAGGTCAAAGTACGGCCTTCAATACGGAGCCTTGGCTCACACCGAACATCAAATTATAAAGGGCCCCAAAAATGACTAGTGTAAAACCATTTAAACAGGAAAACCAACGGTCTAATCTATATAAAAAACGAGAAAAGAGAAACACTTATGAACCACATCAACAAACGACAACCACTGAACATCAGGTTCCTGACTTAGGACAGGTGCAAACAAATGCATCGGATTTAAACGTTCTAATAGGCGCCAACCTTCACAAAAGTTTACATAGCGCTACCTGTATCAATGTGTATATAGTTCACACTGTTACATGTATCATCTGTTTTAAATCCTTTTGAATTCCTTTATGAAAAGAGAGAGAAAAAAAAGGAAATAAAAAAAACCATGAGTAGAATCAATGCAGATCATCATGACAAACAGAAAAACTACATTCAACAAAACAATTCCACAAAAAAAAATTTGTTAAGCAACAAGAACCTCCTCAAAAACCTCAATGATATGACTATTACTTTTGTCTATACAGTTAACAAATCTATATAGATGTCTCCCCAAACAAATAGCATACATCAGAAAAAAAATAATAATCAAATAATAGTAAAAAAAAAAAAAAGAAATCCTGCGCATCTGATGTACTTACAATCACAAATTTTCGAACATACGAGGATCTGACCCACCTTGAAGATAAAAACTATAAGTGACGCCAAAATTCATTTACCCGGTGAGTATATATTAGAAATAAAAACAATCTGATTTTGGAAACATGATTTTGGTGCGAGATGTTATCTATGTGATATATCCGTGGGTATGAGTCAAACTGTTATAATCTTATTTTATATCTCTATTTAACAACAAAATAACCACCACCTTATGTCTGAAGAAACAATGTTCTTTTTACAGCAAGCGTTTGTTGAACTACATAGATAAGCATTAGTTTCTGTAAGTTGAAGAAAGTTTGAAAAACAATTCGAATCGAGCAATCCTGGTGCGTTCATATCGAAACAAATTCACCACAATTGCAGTGAGATAATATTTTATTCTATTTTATAATTGTACGGATGATAATCACCTTGTTTCCTGTCAAGAGGTAGAGGTTACTGTGTGTATCAAGAACCATTTCATCAGCAACTGCAATTTGTCTGTCACCGCTTACGTCAAATTTGACGTACGCTTTACTCTGAGTTACCAATATCTTAAAAAAAAATCATTCCTTAATTAAAGCTTCAATTAAATGACATTCAACAGATGTTAATGAAATATTTTTAAGTAATATTTGTTCATTTTAAGTAGGACTTGAATCGTACATAGAAATATTGTTCAAAATATAATTATTCGAAAGACTAACGTGTTTGCACCCTGTCCAACCAATGCATAGATGGCATTAGTCACATTTTGAATTATTGGTTTTCAATGCTCTTCAACGTCCTCCCATCTGCTTAGATTCGAGCGCCACTAATGAGTCTTGAGTAGATGAAATGCGCGTCTGGCGTATAAAACTCTACGCCTGGTATGTTAGGTGCATTTTTTCCGAAAAGACGCGGGGCAATTATTTTGCAACTGCCATAAGAAATGTCTTAAAGGCATCACTAAGAATAAACAATTTTGGTGTGAAAGAGGATGCATAATTTTCCCAAAGATGCATAAATTAGTATAAAGTACAAACAAGTTTTATTTAGTTTTTCTCCTGGCTCCGCGATCGAAATGTAACTATAATCATGTTTTCTGCATAATATACTGTAAAATATCAGGAGAGAGCTTTTGAAATATGTGAAAGGCTTCATGCTTTTTTGTTATTCAATGTTATTAAGGGTTAAATCTGGTCTATATAACAGCTTTGATAAGTATTTGGTATTACTATAAATTGTCACTTCTTCGTACTATGAACATAAAAATTATTTATTTTGTAAAATATTTCCTTTCCCTATTTGAACTGTACACGTATACCGAACAACTAAATTATTTTCATTTACCTGTGTTTAAAGTAATTGCAAATGGTTGATATTTTTGTTCAAGCATATTGTTTTTCTTATATTGTTTAACATTTCACAGCGGTATAACTTGTTACTTTTATTATTCTTCCCTTCGTTTATTTATTTTGTATTTGCATTGTATCATAGATCAAATTTATTTGTTCAGTGTATGTTCACTGGTGTTAATATGTCTTTTGATTGAGTTAAGCCATTTCAATTGATATTTTATAGTGTGTCTTTCTATGTTGTGATGTTACACTCTTGTTTCATAGTCCTAAGTCAGGAATCTGATGTTCAGTAGTTGTCGTTTGTTGATGTGGTTTATATGTGTTTCTCGTTTCTCGTTTTTTATATAGATTAGACCGTTGGTTTTCCCGTTTGAATGGTTTTACACTAGTCATTTTTGGGGCCCTTTATAGCTTTCTGTTCGTAGTGAGCCAAGGCTCCGTGTTGAAGACCGTACTTTGACCTATAATGGTTTACTTTTATAAATTTTGACTTAGATTGAGAGTTGTCTCATTGGCACTCATACCACATCTTCTTATATCTATTCACATTGTTTTAGATGTACACTATAAATAGATTTATTGAAATATTACTGTATGGGTATGTTTTATGACAGAAACAATAGTTTAATAGCAAATTAGTTACTTTGGACATGATAATAGTGAATCTATAAATCTACGATTTTTTTTTCTGATCAGCTGTAGCATGTCCATCATATTCAATTATCCATTGGTAATTAAAACTGTAGTCATGTACCTTTCTTAAAAATCCAGTATTACTTCCAGCAAGAATAATGTCTGCAGAACTATTTCCTAATGGCAGAACAGAGGTCAAAATTTCACTAGAGATCCGATAAACGGCTGTTTTACTGAAACCTTCACCACGAGCCTCGATCCCAAATTCCATTTTCCGCTGGGTACACGATGATACTAAATCACCCTACAAGTTTCTTTATTTATCAATATAACGTTAGTTAAAAAAAAGAAAATACTGATATGGAAATACTTTAAAGTTTAGAATAGAGAATGGAAACGGAGACAAGGAGACAACAACCCTACCAAAGAGCAGAAAACATCTCAAGGCCCCTTTTCGGTGTTCAAATCAGTGAGAAAATTTCGCACCCGGAGGCGGGCTTCAACAGGCCCCTAAATAATAATGTATACTAGTTCAGCGAAATGGACGCCACACTAAACTCCGAAACATATATAAAAAATTTAAAAAAAAACACACAAGACTATTAAAGGCTATAGGTTCCTGACTTCGGACAGGTCCAAAAAATGCGACAGGGTTAAACATGTGTTGTGAGATCTCAACCTTTCCCATATACTTCTAGCCAATGTGAAATAAACAAATAAACAGCGATACACAAAGTAAAACTCAGTTTAAAATAATCCTTCCATGTACTTTAAAAGTATTTAAAATAAAACATTACATGAATTAGGAGCACGTAAAAGCTTTTATTCTCATCTGGCACGTGTCGACTGATAATATCAAAATGTAAGTATTCACACGTTAAGTATTTGTAATAAAGTTCATCTGTGTACTTTTTTGTATCTTATAGATCGAGACTAAAACGCTAAAGATTTGAACTCTCAACACACTACTGTTACTCCTCAAAATCAAAATATTAATTCCCGTGACTCAGGAACATCGTCAGTTGCTGTCTAAAGTGACCTATTTTGGTTTTGAAAATACACCCTGAACGTGCAAAGAATCAACATCCAAAATTAAACTTGTATGAGATGAGTAATTTTTCTTTTATCCGTAGGGAATTGTATATTGATGGTAGACAGTCTTGAAGTTTTTTTGAACTTCAGATATCAATATTCTGAATATCTATATAGGCTTTTGGTTTTTTTTTCGAGTCGTTTGGTTATTGGCCAATTGACGATACTTCTGTATCTTATTCATTTATACTTGCTATTATATATTCGATCAGCATTTCTAATGAGAGCAATGCATACACAAAAATCTTTACAATCATAATTCGTATGAGGCAGCTACAATGCACATCTATGACACAAAGTAAATATCCTGGTCATTTTTTAGGATTTTTTAAATTTTTTGTCAATATTAATTTCTAAACTAATTTTAGACCCCCTATTATTCCAACATACTTCTAACACAAAGTTTTCTTATCATATTTCTGAAATATTTCTACATTGATGAAATAAAATCGTCAATTTTGCGTATCATTTATTAGCCATGCAGATATAACTTTCTAGAAAATGTGTATTAATGCATAGATAAGTATAAGTATTCCTCGTTATTTTAGTAAAAATGCCAGCACCATTTAAGTACAATATAAAAATAAGGAGATGATGTATGATTGCCTATGAGACAACTATCCACCAAAGTTCAGTATTTAATAATAAAACTACATAAAAGTGCTACACTAATGTTTTCATTGTTATTAAAATAGTATATGTATCCATGCTAATGCTAGTTGTTACATGTACATGTATATACATTTTGTTAGTATTAGTTAATATTGTGAATAGAAGATGTTACCGTTTTGTGGTCCTCCTGTGAAAATAAAATATGCCTGTTTGTATTGTCATAGGAAACCGCAGGAAACCACTAACCGGCCAGAAAAATTGGCCACGGGTAGAGAAGTGATATTTGACATACATACGATAATAAAATATAAAATAGCTAACATAATGAACTACTGTTTTTTTTTTAAATGATCATGACAATTTAACAACTACGCTCAGAAGTGTTCTGATTGACAGAACATTAAATGAGACAACCAAAAGGCAACGAGATAAATAAAAGGACAAACAAGTTAGCACAAACGCTTAAAACTTTATCCTTTCTACCTAGATAGTAATTTTAAAAGCTCTGCGAATACAGCAAAACATTATTATTAAACTCACATAATTAGAAGCAGCCGAGCATGTGGTAGATTCGCAGTGCCATGATGGTGTCCCCCATTTTGGCGTATTTGCAAAACACTTTGATAACACTTCACGATCAAACTTCATCTTAATTTCATCAATTTGGAAAACACAAATGACTGAACCTTGAGTACTGTCGGCTTGAATGTTGTCAACATTGTATGCTCTCACACCAAACGTCATGTATAGGTTTTGTCGCCCGACGTCGTAGTGGGCTGCTACTCCAATGTCATACTTCGTCGGAGTATTACAGGAAATCGGCATCTCTTCATAAGAACCGTAATCGTGGTTTTCCTTGCATAATTTTGATATTCTTGTTTCATATGAAATGGTTCCAGAGTCGTTGATTGATCGAATAAAAACATGAAAAGTTGAATTTGTAGTTTCAAAAATATGTAAAAACTTCAATTTAAATTTTTCCCGCTTAGTATCACATACTGAGAGAAAAGTCTGAACGGCATGATGATCAAAATTCCAATTCTCATTAGATTTTGAAATATCAAGTGTTGCAAACTCCTTAGAAAAGAAGTCTGTTTTTCTGCCGTCGAAGCTTTGGCCAATGAAAAATATATCATCACCACCTTTACCCTTTGTGACGAGCATGACGGATGAATTTTTACTTCCAAGATAATTTTTCTTATCTTCACCAAAAGGATGTTTGATGTTGATATCAGCTGCATTGTACATGTAACATATACCTTGGAGCGCTGTTCCGCAGACGATCAAGTAGTTCTGGAATAACTTCAATATACTGATGTGATTATTGACTGTTCGGTATCTCTTGTAGATGCAAGAATTACCAAAAGAATTACATTGTTTACTATCGTTGACAGGGCCAATGCTATCTTGTTTCTTCAGTCTAAGGTCCAAGTCAAGGTGGATAAGAGTGTTGTTTCCTCCTATATATAAACTTCTACTTTCTTCTTTTATTATAATTTTGGAAAGTGGACCATATTTTCTGGGTACAGTGTAGTTCTGATGGAAAACATGTGTTGTGAGAACTCCTAATACCAAATGAATAACTGCCAATCGGATATACATCTGGAGTAAAAAAAATGAAAACAACTCTTTAAAACTTTCATGTTCGAAGCGCTTTTCTGGATTAACTTTCATCAGGAACGATCAATGACGAAGTTTTGAAAGGAAAGATGTATGTGAACCGAGACAGTTGAAGAGCTATATGACCAAACAGTATATCATAGGTCGACTTTGCCAGAAGGATTTGAAACTTACGTTTTTTATAATTTCAAAATCTATATACGGACAATTTTAAAACGGTAAGTAAACATTTCGTTTTGCCATATCACTAAAAACTCATTATTCAGATTTTAATCAGTATTTCTAAATAATTATGATTCAATTTATATTTGATATAAAAATAAGGAGAAGAGGTATGATTGCCAATGAGACAACTATCCACCAAGGTTCAAATAAAGTGGACCCCCAAGGGTGACTGGGGAATAGAAGTATGGTCACCATTGGTCTTCCTCCGACTGGCAGTAAAACCCGTGCTAAAGTGGGGCGTCCGTTTGGCTGTGCGGGATGTACAAATTTTCAGCAACGTCCGGTCAGAATGGGGACGTTAAATCCGATGCCTCGTGTAAAGAGAGTGCCACGCTCTTTGCACGTTGAAAACCCTTGCAACAACTCTTTGAGGGGTCCGTAGGTGACCTGTTGCAAGGCTAAATTTCTGTCCCTATCTAATATACCCTCATTTCCCGTGGCAGTCTAAATTTCTCCGACCTTAATCCCTTAGTCTATTACAGAACCTACCTATTGTATTTATTGTGAACTTGTTCTCGTCCTGAATATGCATGACATATTTGCCACTGGACGTTAAGCAACCAACAATCAATCAAACAATCAAATAAAGTGGATGTAAGCAATTATAAGCAACCGCACGGCCTGCAACAATGAGAAAAATCCATACCGTATAGTCGGCTATAAAAGGCCCCGACATGAAAAATATGAAACAATTCAATTAAGAAAACTAACGGCCTAATTCATAACAAAACAATTAACGAAAAACAAATATGACAGACATGAACCAAAGACAATCATTGAACTACAGACTCCTTACTTGAAACAGGCATATAAAGAATGTGGCGGGGTTAAACATGTTAAGTCTTATTTCATTTGAGATCTACATGTCAACCTCACAACCTCAAAAAATTATAATACGACTCATGTTTAGAATTAACATAGCAAAATTTCATGTGCTGTAAAAGACAGTTTGATAAATAAAATTTAAATCTGTTTTGAAGGAGTTACGGTTTATCAACATGAAATAAATTCTTTCATAGTGTAAATGTTCATTTAATATTTGATCTTTGTGTAAGTTTCGGTGTATTTTATTTTAAACTTAAGTTATAAAGGTTATTTGTATGGATTTTGTTGTCGGTCTTCCACTCAAAAACTTGACATAGTATCTCGTGAGTATGTCAATTTACTCCTTTCAAATAAGATTTCTACTAAAACATTCGTTGAAATTCAACTCAAGCTCGCAGCAGTAATATTGAACTAGTTTCTTGTTTCCTTGTTAACTGATTAAATTTAACATAATATTATAACAGTTTAGAAAACGATTTCACACAAGTTATACAACTTTCAAGTGTTTGCTTTAACATTTTGGGTTAAATTTCTTGTAAAAGACGGATTACACAAATTGTATAGCTAAACTGAATTATAAAAGTAAATATTTAATGTAACATATCTAGGTTAATGAATTTACAACAACCAATATGGCAGTTGTTATCAAATAGTCCATTTCTATGTATGTTGGCGTTTGTTTTTGTAGCAGTTCAATGTTTATGTTTTTCCGTTGTTTTCCTCTTATAGTTGATGTGTGACCCGGATTTGTATCAATTAAATCGATTTATGACTTTTGAACAGCGGTTTACTACTGTTGCCTTTATGTAGCTCACTTGGAAGAGTTTAAAATTTCAGGATGTCGATAATGACTTTTTTGAAGTGCTACAAAAACATGATTCCGAAACGCACTAACTACATGTATATCGTTGCTTGATATGCATATGTTTTGTCATAAAAGAATATTTCAAATTTCATTATTTACGATACTTTTACATATGTATTAAAAAAAACATTTTAATTATGCTGAACCAGTTACTTGTCCACAGTCTCTTGATAATTACGTATCACTTTGGTAACAACCGATGAAAAACAAAACAGAAGTGCAAAAATAACAAAAAAGCATATAGATATGGAATGCAAAAAGATTGATATACACGATCATTTGAGTAAATTCGATATTATAAGTTGATATAAAACTTACATTTCTTTTCTGCAATTTGGATGTTATCTTTACACATATTGAACACATAATATTTCCTGGTATATTAAACCACTTGCATTACTTCAGTTTCAGGAAATTCATCCTCATCTCATATTATGACAAAAACAAGTGAATGGGGGGAATGAATTACTTTTTGTACTAGACTGACACTCTTATTTAGCATTTGAACCAGCTAGTTCACAGGGTAATATGAAACCGTACCCGGACATATTATTCTGATTCTAAGCTGACCAGTCTTTGATCTTACTCATAATTGCCGTGTGCTAAATGGAGACCAGATACCAATTTGGGTGCACGTCTTTGCTTTGACAATTGGAAGTGAAATGTGTTCTCATTGAAAAGCAAGGGAGAACCGTAGGAATTCCATGTTAAATTTCGTGTAATAGTTCTATTACACAAATTGTGTTACTAAACTGAATTATAAAAGTAAATATATAATGTATCATATCTAGGTTGATGAGATAAAACGTTGATATTTACATCTCACTTGTCTGTCCTTTGCAGCTACATGTACCAGTGCAACCTACTTGGAAAAAAAACAATACCTTTTAAATTGCATGCGTCCGAAGCACTTTTCGGACTTTCCTTCATAAGGAACGCCCCCAAAAAAGCCGAATATTTGGAAGAGTACTGTATCATGTTACACTTTAATCATCAATTTCAAATTTAACATCTCAATAATGCCTTTTTCGAAAGGGCTAAAAAACAATTTCTTAAATGAAATACATGTATCTTTGTTGTTAGCATTTGCATATTTTCTGTCAACTTAGAATATTGAAAATTTCATTGTTTTCGATAATTTAAAATAAAAAGTGTTCATTTTTTTTTAAATACTGCTGAACCAGTTACTTGTCAACAATCTCTTGATATTTACGTATCACTATATTAACAACCGATTAAAATGAAAAAAGAAGTGCATACAAAAACAATCTATAAGGAAATAGAATGTGTAAACGTTAACAAAAATATCGAACTCAAAGGTATATTCAAAAAGGGGTATGTCGATAAAACCTGACAAAATCAAACGATAGGCCATATTAACCAACGAATGAAATGGAAAACAAACGTCATATTCCTGACTTGGTACAGTAATTTTTCGAAAACAAAATTAAAGCTGGTTTTATTGCTAGATAAAACCTCTTACTAGTATGACAGATGTTTATACATGTAGTTTTACTGACAAAATTAGGTGCGAAACCCAAACTGACATATTTAATTAATGTGAAAATAATTGGAATCGAGCAGCCAAACCTGTGTAAACATACATCACAGACATATAACACAACTTACTAAAAAATTAAAACAAACATGCAAATAGATATGACAGAGAAGCCTACAAAAAGTTATTGCAGATGAAAGTAAATCTAACAAAGACGCCAAATTTTTATTTTTTTTTGTAGTTCATAGTATATACAGTATATAAAAAAATAATGGCGTACTAGTATAAACTTTCCCGATAAAGTAATAATTGATTTAGATATCAATACAAGGGTAAATAAATTTAAAACAACACTGTAAAAACATCTTGGGTCGGAAATGCACCTCTGGATCCACCAAAAAATTGAAATACATGATCATTTGAGTAAATTTTTAAAAGTTTATATACAACTTACTTTTCTTTTTGCAATTAGGATGTTATTTATACACATATTGAACACTAAATATTTCCTCGTAAATTAAACCACTCGTAGTACTTCAGCTTCCGGAAGTCCATCTTCATCCCATCAATCGTGGTTAAACTTGATACTTGATATGTCTGTTTGTTTTGTTCACACATCGTTGTCAATATAATGGAATTTTATGCGACTGTCATACAAGTGAGAGGTTTAGCTAGCTATAAAACCAGGTTTAATCCACCATTTTCTACATATGAAAATGACTGTACCAAGTCAGGAATATGACAGTTGTTGTCTATTCGTTTGATGTGCTTGAGCTTTTGATTTTGCCATTTGATTAGGGACTTTCCGTTTTGATTTTTCCACGGAGTTCAGTATTTTTGTGATTTACTTTTTAGTATATGAATAATAGATTGTTTGTACTTGCATGTCTGATTGGAATGTTTTTACAAACTTGCAAACATAAGGTTCCTCGCAAATATTATTACATCCTGTCCAAAAGAGCCTTTGTGAGCTTTATGATCCGTTTTTTTTTTCGTTGATTAAAGTTAAAACTTTCAATTTTCATCTTCTCTAAGATTACCCGTGTTCTCAGAGTTCCAAGAAATCTTAACGCTGATGACACTTGCAGGAATTCTTGTCCCGATGAAGGCTAAAAATTCCTACCCTTATCCAACTCGAAAATACCCTTTATTTTCTATTGGCAATCCAAATTTCTACGTTCATTTTTTGGCTAGCCCACGTTTCATTACCTACGATTTATATTTTTGGTCAACTTGTTCTAGTCATGACATAAATGTTTACCATTTCATATTCATGAAACAGCAAACAGCAATCAATATTTCTTTGCAATAACTTATAAATTACTTGGACATTTTATAGAAGTTATCTGCCAGAGATAAT